ACAAAGCATGGCCTTTCATCATGTGCGAGCTGTGGGGCCCGACTTCCAAATATGTCGGAGCGTTACAGTATTTTGCGGTGCTCCTTTGCGGTCAGGGGACACGTCTCCTATTGCTGGCTGGGCTTTCAGACCACGAAACGGTCGACGCGTGGATTCGCGCATGTTTGGGCCTTAGTTGCCGCCTAGCAGGGCCCGTTTATCCACTTAAGTAAACTCGGTTATACATGTTGAGGTTGGGCCATACCATAGCGGTGTTATGCAATGGCGCTTTTTATTTTTATTTTTTTTTTTGGGGGGGGGTCCTGCAATGGTTGCCAATACTGGTTCAACAACATGTTGCCTTGGGCCTGGTGTTGAAAGGTGAGGTTCAAGGCCAAGATTTGCAGGCAGGGTCGAAGTCGAATGGGTTTTCAAATTTAAATTGTTACTTTACAGATTTCCGGCAGGTCCCGACGAAGCCCGAGCAGCAAGGAGTCGTTTCCTCATGGTGGCTGCTGCTTTGCATCGGCGGTATACTGCCACTATATGCCGTTGGCCCTGGCGCCTTTACAGCTTGGCCGATCCCAGGTGCGTGAGTACACACCCCTCACTCATCACCGAATTCTTCGACGCCAGGTCTTGCTGCCTGCCACCTGGCATGGCGCGCGAAATCCGCGCAAGCATGGACAAGTCCACCTTTGAGGCCAGCTTGCCTGGCTTCCGACGCTTTCCTGTCAAGTTTCATATTGTTGCAAATCATAGTATAGTGTTATACAGTTATACAGTTATACAGTTATACAGCTATACAGGCTATACTACTATACATCATCATGTCATTATGTTTGTATAAGTCATAAGCTATAAATATTAAGTGACTTATGACTTAAGTGCATAATCGTAACAGTCGTATCAGCACTTGCTATTGCAAGATTGCATTCTACACATCATGTGGGTTTGCAGTGGGTCTTGTGTAGGTCTTACTCTAGCCTTCAATTTCAACTACAGGAGTGTTACTTTCAGTCCTCCTTGCATCACTACATTAATCATTAATCATTAATCGTTGATCATATATTTCCTGTCCTGACACATTTTTGGGAGCTGCAGTTGTCACGATTGCGAGGTTGGTTCTGCCTTCTCCATGGCTTGATCATCAAACTTACCACGGCAAATGTCGAAAGACGTCATGCGACTCATAAGAGTCAATGTGATGATCAGACGAAGTGGCCGTACTTTGCAGCGCAATCCATTGCAACAGAGGCCCGTCAACAAGTTTTGGCCGTGGAGCGCCTCGAGCGTTTGCGCGTGCTGAGAGCAGGCATACGACCCAAAACAATGTTTGAATGGTTGGTAACCTGGTAGTTAGGTTGGGTGTGACCTCCGGTGCTTCCCATTACTTTCCGAATTTCCGTGTCAGGTGAAGCCTCCAATGCAGGAGTTGCCAAAGTTGCTGCTCCCCGCCGTCCCAAAGCCAGCAGTGCGCTGGAGATATTCCGGAAGGAATGGCTGCTTTCTGAGAAGGCACGCGGCACAGTGTGGAATCCGATCTCGAAAGATGCTTGGAGCGCGTGTCGCAAGGCTTACGGTGCTCTGGATGCCAATCGCAAGTCTGAGCTGCAAGCCCGCGCTTTGGCATCCAAGACTCTGGCAGATGCCAAGCGTCGCAACACTGCACCGGTGCAGGATGCTACTGATACAAGCGCCAGTGCAGGTGACAGGTCTGACAATGCAGCTGCATCTGCATCCGACGGTGCTATGCCAGTGACTTCTGACTCGTTGGCCGACCTTATGGAAGGCGTCCAAGCTGCAGCCCGAGAAGGTGGGGTGGTAGCTGTTCGACACGGTCGTTCAAACCCACCGGTGCCGAAAGAGCCTGTGGCCTGCCAGAGCTTGCAACAGTCCGTGGTGCAGCAAGCCATGAGGCAAGGGCCTCCCACAGCTGAGGAGCAGTTTCCGATTGCACCTCACGTTGTGTCAGAGGTTTTCCATCAACGTGGGTTTAACTTGAAGCGGTATGTGGACAGCTTTCAGAAGAAGGCTACCCGGCTTGCGGCCGCGACAGGCATGCCAGATACGGTGCAGTATCCGCAATCGTGTGGTGCACTGTGCCGCACCAGCAACTCGCTGAACACAATCCAGTTTCATGACAAGCTGGTTGGTTTACTGCACCAGATCGTGAAGGAGCTTAGCCCAAACGTCCGAAGCATATATGACGAAAGTGTGATCTTTGCAGCAGAGCAGCATGTTGCTGCTGGACAAGGGCTTCCGAGCCGCATGAGCTTCTATGCAATCGCTGCAGCTGCAGGTAGGCAAGCTCATCACAAGGCACAGGTGACACTGGCACCGTTGGAGCTGCAACATGGTGTTTGCGCTCTCCGTTTGCACCTTTAAAACTGAAACCCTGAACCCAACAAAGCCGAAGGGTTCCCAACACCGGAACCCACAGTCACAAACCCTTAACTTAACCGTAACCTTCAAGCCGGCACCCAACAAAGCTGAAGCTTCCAAAACACGTATTAACCCTGAAACCCCAAACACGAAACCCTGAACCCCCAGAGCCCAAAGCCCGAATATGGGGGGGGGGCGTAAAACTACAACAAAGTTTTCGGATTTTGGGGTCTATTATACTAAACTCCCAATAACAAATACCAAAACTGTATTCAGCAAGCAGTAAGCCTGTAAGCCATAAGCCTATATCCCTATACTATACTGGTTGGACACACAGACCCAGACCAATGACCCTGATCGGCCCCTACCGGGCCC